AACCTCTTCAAATAAGCCACTCGCGTTCAGCAGCCCGAAATGAACGTAGTTTTATGCAGGAAAAACTTCTGGAATCGATTTCATTTAAGAAAACTTTGTGTCGTTGTCTTTCATCAGTATGACTGTGAGAGTGCCAAAACTTCGAGTTTTGGGTTTACTTTACTTTCTCGTTATTTAAGTTGCGTAAAATCTAGTATTAAATATTTTTTCTTCCTACTCCCTCATTGCTAAAGGGCATTATAAATCTAATGTTTATCAAAATTTTAGAGTATTATATAACAATCAGCAGCTATTTTACAATTAGCAACTATCCGGCTATTTTACTCAAAGGAATAACGAATAAATTAGTAATATCAATTGAAAAGTTTGAGTATAAAAACATAGGGGAACCATTTAAACTTTTCTTGAGATATGAAAGTGATAAGTAAAAAACTACCAATTCAGTTTTTCTTTAGACTTCAAAACGTCATGAAAAATCTGGAAAATTCAAAAGAACTTGTCATCAGACTATATCAATTAAGATTATTCAATTCATCAAATAAAAAGTTTTTGCTAGACAAAAAACTCGTCTTCAAACATCATCTTAAAATTATTTTTATTTTTCAAAATGTTCTTTATATGAGAGCTGTACCAATTTGAAACAACATACAAAAACCTAAAATAATTTCAAATGCTCTTACCAACAAAGCTGTTTATTTCAGCCAATACAATTTTTTTTTCAAAAACCTTACGTTAAAGATAAAACTTTGCAGCTAATGGAAAAGTTACGACGGGTACCGAACTTTACTCGCAATTTCACGTCTGATCATACAATTGTCAGACACTCGCTTTTTTCCAGATCTGTGCATATCTCTTTCACATGTGATCACTTCTGCCGTTTGCAGACTATACCTGATTCAGACATGACTATACCTGATCAGACATGACTAAACCTGGTCAGACATGACTATACATGATCAGACATGACTATACCTGGTCAGACATGACTATACCTGGTCAGACATGACTATACCTGCTTCAGATCTAATCATGTAGAAAACTTTCTACAGATCAATTAGAAAGCGCCATGTAACGGCAGAAATACAGATGGTTATAATGTAGTCCACTAGTCTTACAATAAAATTACAAGCCGGCAGTGTATTGTGATAAGGCAAAGAATCATAATGAATGCCTATTTTTAACTATTTACCTTGATCTTGTATAAAATGTTTCGGGAGCGACCTAGCTCCCAATCCAAGCGGATAGTTTAAAAGTTTTATGGTGCAAGCTGTTGTTTTCTTGTTGTGTCTGAGGCATGTAGCAGAAAAATCCTTTGTTTCAGTTATCGCTTTTCGGCCTTTTGGCTAAGATCATTTCTCTTCTCACTTTAGCAAGTTGGTTTTGGCTTTTGACTTAGATCATTCTCATCTTGCTGCCAATTTTCCTTCTCACTTTATAAGTTGAATTCGGCTTTGGTTAAGATACTTTCGGCTAAAATTATGCTGCCAATTTCCCTTCTCACTTTAGCAAGCTGAATTCGGCTTTGGTTAAGATACTTTCGGCTAAAGTTATGTTGCCAATAATGATGCCAATTTCCTTACTTAGTTAGATCTTTGCAACCGGTCTTAAGTTACGTTCGAGAAGCTACTTTATCTAGTGCTAGTTCGCTGTCAATTTCCCGTCTTAAAATGCATTTAACAAGTTGCATATCTTTACTTATACTATACAGAACTGAGAATAATCTTCGCATAATATATGCTCAGTTGAGAACTAAGTTGGATTAATAAATTGATCCTTTTTTAGCTGTCATGTCTTCGAGTTACACCTTTAAGAACTTAACTTTCGAATACGTTTTAAATAACACAAATTTAGGTACGATTGCCCGAGTGCCATTTCCCACGACTTGGCACATGAGCTGCAGCGATTGCGATGCAGTCATCGAGGAAGCGTCGTTTAAACGCGATATCATCCACCACGCAAAGAAGAGACATTCTATAGATCTGCATAACGTTCTTTTTGAATGCAAATTCTGTAAGGAAGCCTTTTCAGATCAAACAAAAGCGACAACGCATCAGGCGACTCATTTCGAGGATCCTTTATTTGAAATGGAAACCTACCCATGCAGTTCCTGTAACCGAGCCACAACCGTCAAGGCAAAGTAGCCCGTCCAATTGAACAGCACGGATGCTCTCTATCTTCATCCATGCGAGGATCTCAGTAACCGGTTCCGAGTCCCCCAATCCCGCAATTTTCCGACTCGGAGGACCCCTCGAGCACGAATTAAGACTGTGAACGCCCTGATGAAGTCCCCCACCACCGCAAATTACACGATCGGTCGACCCCCCGGGCATTAACCAGCGCTACGAATGCCCCGATGAAGTGGACGAAGTCTTCAACGCCGATCAATGGCTGGATACGCTCATTACCGCAAACTCCAAGACGTCAAGAAAACAGCATCCTATGCAGAATTCGCTATCCGAGGTAGAGATCCAAAAGTTGTACTGCACCAACATGATGAGGGCCATAGATTACATTGAGGGGCACCAAAAAATTCTGTGTAGAGTTAACCCAGACGAACTGAAGTCTCAAATGACCGTCCAACTTGGCTCAAAACCAGTAACCCCCCCCCCCACCCCTGTGCCGAATACGTGGAGGCAATGCTGGAGGAATAGAGAAGCACTGTCACGGCCCTTCTCCGAACAAGAAGTAAAAGCAGCCCTTGATCATGCATCATCTGCTCCTGGCCCCGATGGGTGGACCTACGCTAATTTAGCTCAATTAAAAGGTTTCGTGCCAGCCTTTACGTCCGGATTGCACCAGCTAGCAGCTTCAGGGGACACGCCTGATAGGTGGAGGAATTCTTCTTCTGTTTAAAAAGCCCAACGAACTCCAAGAGGGAATGCACAAGGTCCTGAAAAAATTTCGCTCAAATTTTAGATCAAACGTGACATGCAAACTTCTCATGTCAATGATCTGCAAATGACTATCCTCGTGGCTCGAGAGGAACAATGGCATCTCCCACGGGCAGCGAGCTGTTTTTTCCAGAAAAGGCGTTATGGAGAACACGTTTATCGTAGCTGAGTCCTTACGCTCGAAGAAAGGTGTCCTCTATCTTGACCTTAGCCATGCGTTTAACAGTGTGGAACACTCAACCATTTCCGAAGCTCTACGACAAAGCCATTGCCCAGAATGGATTATACGAATCATACAATCCGTTTACTCAGATTGTACTACACAGCCTACCGACCTATCAGGCAAGACACTCTGTGACCCAGTGAAAATTTCCAGAGGTGTTAGGCAAGGCTGTCCACTCAGCGCTCTGTTATTTAATGTGGTCCTTGTGTTGGAGGACGCATCCGAATTGTGTGGTCCGGCAGTTGTGTTGGAGGACGCATCCGAAGCACCGGGGATCCTGCAGAAAATAGTTGACTGCGCCAATTCACTAGGTTTAACCTTCAACCCTGCCAAAGACGGAGCTGCAAACATCTCCAAGCCACTCACCATTGGTGACCAATTGGTACCAGTGGTGACCGAGGAAAAAGCCTACAAGTATCTTGGAACGACCGTATTCCCGTCAATAGTTGGAGGACTCGAGTCCTGCTTCGAGAGAGCTTGAGCCTTAGCACAGCTAATAGAAGATTTTCAGCTCTCCCTTATGCAAAAGTTACATGCTCTCAGAACTAAGACTATTCCAATGTTATACCATCTGCTAGCGTATTCATTTACCAACCAGAACCAACTCCATAGGATGAACCGATCACTGCGAAAGATGGCAAAACGCATCCTTTGTCTACCTGAGAAAGCAACTACGGCCTACATCAATTTGAACCGTTTATACGGAGGACCTGGACTTTCTGACTTGGTCATAACAAAAGCAAGAATGACACTGAAATCGTTCGTCAATGCTTACAATATCAAAGACTCTCTGGAAACGCTGACCCGGAAATTGCTTCTTCATGGATCATCGGATGAAGAGGTGATACGCGCAAAAAACCAGAATAAAAGATGGACTCTCGGAGATTGCCAAAGAAACTTCTCTAGCCCTGCAACGAAAACGCAAGTACTTGAAACTGAACATCAAAGTAGAACTGCACAATGACAGGTTGAACATACAACTTGCAGATATGGGCTATCGAAACCCATGGCCAATGCTCCACTCCCTAATGACATAAAGGAGTCTTACAATCTTATTAGAGGCTCGAGACCAAGGCCGTTACTGGAGAAGCCTCAGCTCATCGCCTGTTGCGTCTAAGGCGCTATACAGTTTCCACACCTAATTTTGCGACTGGCGCTTCATTCATTGTGCTAGGCTTTACGCGGAGCAATCAACTGGTGTAAAAACAAAGACGCGACCTGCCGCCGCTGCCAATTGAATCAAGAGACACTAAATCATGTGATCAATAATTGTCCAGTCAACCGTAAGTCAGTAAAAAGCAGACACGACGAGGCACGGAATCTGATTGAAGCAAGTATACCTGCACATTATGCCATCATCAAAGAGCAACGTTTTGGGAATCTGCAGCCCGACCTGATTGTTCAAAATAACGAAAAGCAGACAACACTCATCCTCGATATCAAAGTTTAAGGAGAAGCCACAGAAACTGATGAACAGCACGAGACTGACATGGCAACCAAATATGATGCACTGAGATGTGCTTTCAACATTTACGGCCATAAAACTTCCGTCCATTCTGTTCAACTTGGGCCCTAGGCACTGTTCGACGCTGCACTCGAACCTTTTTCGAACGACTGCTCAACTCAAGAAGGAAGAGCAACACCCTTGTGAGAAAACTGGCCAACCAAAACGTCCACTATGCACGGAACTTTGCAGTTGGACACATCACCGGAAACGCCAAAACTTATATGATTGTGACTTACATAAAAAAAATTATCTTCACCGAAGGCTATTAGCTGTTTCAAACATCCCAAATGTTGATCAACTTCAATATAAACTAAAATTTTCAAACTTGCTTTGATTTCAAATTTTCATTTTCTACTATTTTGAGTGTCCTTGTAATTTAACCCCTGTTTTTGCTTATTATGATTCTGAGGAATTAAATCTTTCATCTGTTTTTGTCAGCTTAATATCTGGCACATTGGGCATTGCCTGGCACCAATATTTATCTGATTTTTGCTTCTCGAGTTAACACCGAAGCTTGCTTTGGTTGACTCATGGATTGTCCCGGTCTTACACATCCATAATGATATGTCTGCTTCAAGTCTTATCATGCAATTTGAGGCATGATTTTGTCTGGTCCAGGTATGATCATGTAAAGTCCGGTATGATCATGCCTGCTTCAGGTATGATCATGTAAAGTCAGGTATGATCATGTCTGGTTCAGCTATGATCATGTCTGGTCCAGGTATGATCATGTAAAGTCAGATCTGAAATATACCTGGGACAGGCCTGATCATACCTGGGCCAGAGTGAAGCAGACATGATCATACCTCTCTTTTTTTACAGTTATCATATCTGTTCGTGTCTGATTCAGACATGTACAGCAAAAAAAAAGAGACATGCCATAGGACTGATACAGATCTGAAAGTTGTATGAATTTTCGATGTCCAGATTTGAATTTAACTAAAATTTTCAGTACGGGGAAGACAAAACTTAAATATATCTGAATTTTTTAAAATTTAAATGTTGTAGACTATTAGATTTTTTTATTTTAATTTATTTTAGCAATATACATACAATTTATTTTTAATCTATTAGTAATGTGTTTTTTTTTTACAGATTCGCATTGTGATTTTGATATATTCGTCAAATTTGCTTTTTTTCAAACCAAATAACACCACTTTAGAGATGGGAAAAACTGTGGCTTGTGGTGTATCTTTACTGACAAACTGTGTCTTCCTCAAAACATGCTTGTGTGGATTCAGGTGAGGAATGATATATATAAGTTCTACTGGTCTGAACTTTTTTGTTTTTGAAAGTAAAAGAGACATTGATGAGAGGCTGAACTCCCCTCATTTGTAACGTTAATTCATTTGTAACGTTAGTATGGTGATTATTAGTTCATTAGTGCTCCTTCACGCAGTTTTTATCATCTAATTCAGTTTCTTTTTACTGAAAAAGTAGCCGGAAATTTGGAAAACTAATGAAAAATGTTTTGGAGTCGTTTTGATATACTTTTTTTCAAAATGCAGTAGCAGGCCCTCCTTTTTCAGCAACAGGCCCTCCTTTTTTAGCAACTGGCTCTCCTTTTTGAGACGATATTTGAGATATATTTGTTTTTTTTTTAAATCTGTCTGGGGAGTAATATAGCTGGTTTTATTCGCAAAAATTGCATTGAAAATCGAAACAATTTTTTTTTACTTGTGTGTCAAATTACTAGAATGTCTACTTTCTACTCTGTAACCATACTCTAAGATCTATTAAAATCATTAGCTAGATAATTCTTGTTAATCTTACCATTAAAATTTTTTCGTTTTCAGAAATATCAGGCAGGACTCCGAAAAAAGTCAATTGAACATTACAGAAAATGTCTACTTCATTTTGTCTGAGTAAACAGTTTCGCTAATTGAAAGGAAGGTTGTTTATAATAACATAACAACAATATTTGAGCAGCAGTCATTCGATATCCACTATCACTTCTGATTTTCTCCATCAAAATTTTTTAGTTTTCTAGTTTTCAAACAAAATCTGCGATGTCGGCATATCTAGCCCTAGGTGATTAGCTCTATCTGAACTTTAATTTTCTAGGTTTATTTTCATTTAATATTGCCATCTTTCTCTTTCCGTTTTCATAGTCTCAAAATACTTTTGAAAAAAAAATACTAAAGTTCGCTAAGAGCTTCTGCCCAATGAGTCGTACTTAACATGAGCGTGAAGACTGCTTTAGAATCAATTTAGGTCAGCCAAAATATATTTCAGCTTGATTGTACCTGGTTTTTATCGAGGTATTTGACGTCATTTAGATATGCCGCCTGCAGAAGCAAATTGATGATACAAATTCATAATCGCATATGTTATAGCTACCGAAATGTAACGCATTTTCACTGATAGTTCTGACCGCAACAAGCAAAATTTTGAACGGGGAGAATTGGTACGTGTAAGTGGGCTGATTTTCAGCCGACTATAATTTTTCATTTTATCCATGGGTCGTTCTAATCATTTCCGAACCTCCGACGGATAACTTTCAGCAGTAGCGGCTTCAAAGCGGGTAGTCCAGCAAATCACCACCAAAAGGTTTACGGAATATCGTATTGGTCAATCCTACTCTACGGAATTTCGTATAGGTCAATCCACTTTAAGTTTGACAAAAACGTCTTGGGTGCCGATACGTTCTATTTTGATGGGCGCCAAATAAAGCATTTTTCTAAACAACATTTTAAAAAGTGCTACAAAATGACATTTTTGGCACGCGTTCGCTTTTTTTTGCAAAACAGTGTCTATATAGTATTCAAAAAATCGATCTGGTCGACCTAAAATTAGCCAATAGACCTTAGAATAGAAATAGACGCTACAATTTCAGCTCAGTAATGGTTCCGGCTTTCGAAGAAAGTGACGGAATATTTGTGAGCTGGGTGTTTTTTTGCTCCAGACTAATTGGATCTTGTATCTAGATACTGATGACATGAGCTCAACTTTTTTCAAAAATAAATTGAAAGCATAGCTCATGAAAAAAAATCCGAGATTATCCAGCCCTCGAAACTGAAAAGTTCGCCAGAAAAAAAAACGATATGATCGTTCAGATATAAAAATCACTTTAGATAAACCTGCCTTTCAATCATTATGCAATAATGGTATCAGAAAAATGTATATTTGCAAAAAATTGTATCAGAGAAATGTATAAATGCAAAAAACACGTCTCTGTGGTTGTACAAATATACAATGAGGCTTATGGTAGATCAATTTTGCGCCGCTGCTATCTTGGAAATTGTTTCTTTGTAAATTTTACTTTTTTTATGTATCGTTTTTCTGCGTTTTGTCTATTTGTGGATGGAAACTGTCGAAAATTCAACCTGACATAAAAAAAAATTCTGAAAAACTGGTAATTGTTCCAATTTTTGTAACGAAAGTAATGGAATATTTGTGCTCGGGTTGGTTTTATTTCTTCAGGCAAATTTCGAATTTGTAACTAACCAATTTTGATGAGTTTGTTATTTCTGAAAAAGTATTGTTGTCCTAATTTCAAATTCAAAACGATACCTGTGATCGTTTTCGGTAAATCTATCATTTTGTTCTTTATATGGCGTGTCGGGTTGATTTTCACAAAAAAAAGTCTCAAATGTTTTATTTATATATTTTTTTCATTTTATTTTACTACATTTAATTTTTTCATGTTACTACTGCACCATAGTTCCTAAAAGGCAGTCGGAACATTCAGGGCTTTACCTTGATACGAGCAGTCTTGTTGTTCCGACTTTCGATACGAAAATAACGGAATATTTGTGCTCGGGGTGGGTCAATTACATGACAGTCGAAACATTCAGGGCTTTACTTTGATATTTGGGCAGTCCTATATGTTTTAAGATGATTGTTCCACGAAACAGAGGAATAATTTATGAGCTTTTCAGATTTTATGGAAAGCTGTTTTTGTGGGCCTGGCTAAGAATTGCATGTATTTTTTGGTTGTTTTTCTGAGCATGGTATTAATTTTTTGCTTTCAAGTAACGAGCCCAGATCATAGCAGATTCTTAAAATGGGATGTGGAGTTTTAGCCATTCCTCAGCCGCTCCCATAGATTTATCCCCAGGTCGGATAAACTGTAAAACTGATTCTGTATAAAGTTTTTCTTTCATACAAAAGCACAGACTGTAATCGTTTGAAATATTCCATACAATTTGTATTTTGACGCTCTACAAAATTAGTTATTTGAATTTTTCAATTGTGTTTTGATAATAAAATCTGAACTCTGTTATGTAGGTGATATTACCTTGATATATCATCCCCTGGTTGTTTTTCTCTTTAAGTATGAACAAAAATTACAATGTGATTTGGTTTCTTAACTTCTTAAGCAACGAATAGGTCCAGAAATGATTGAGCTCTAAATAGCTAATTTTGAATCAAAAGGCATCCAAAATTTGAGCACTGCCTTGCAAATTTATCACAGTAATACTTAGAAACTGATATTACCTTAAATTTTTTATTAGCAGAATAACGCTTCCAGTTTGCAAAAAGCTGTGATTTCGTCAAATTTTCTGCTGGTATTTTTTTAATGATGATTTCGCCCTGTTTTGACCAACTTTACTTGTTTTGGTTGATCTTAAACAATTTTTTCCCAAAACTAAGTTGAAAATTTTCAAAAATTTCTAATTTGTGTTATAATTTCGTTTGGACATTTATAGTTTTCATCAAATGATATAGCTTATCGAAAAATGAATATAATTGAGTTTAATTTTTGTACAGACTTAATTTTTGTTCCATTTTTGTATAGTTATAAAAACGATCGGCTGCTCCAATAAAAGCCAAAAAAATTCAAAGCATCCGTCATTCATCATTGTTCAAACAAAACATCTGCTAATCCAATTGTCAAAAATATCAGAATTTATTTATTAAATTAATCTTTTATTTTAAATTAGCTTTTTTTTTAAAAAAAAGTAGCATTGATACACTTATAATATTCTTAAAAAATTCAAGAATGATTCATCCAAAAAAATGAAACCGGACCTCGAGCCTCTTAATTTTATCTCCTGCATTCCAGTTTCATAAATATATCACGTGACACGTGTCTGAAATTGAACCCTTATTTGCCAGTTAACATTACCACAGTGGCAATGAATGAACTTGTGGCTATTATTCCCTCTAGTACCCCAAAATTGTGAACAAACCCAGTTTAATATGCGTTCTGTGTCGATGCATGAATAGACCGTAATTTCCTGTTTTGATCATAATAGACTTTTACTGCAGGTGGGCAATCGGACAAATTGGATGGTGGTGCATAAACCCGAAGTATGAACCAGCTAATAATAAAACAGCCGAATTTTATGAGCAGAAAAGTTGTTATTATGTAATAATTATTTATCTATTATGGAGTCTTTTTAACTATTTTTTTCCATTTTGCGGGGGGGGGGGGGGGGGATTCGTTAATAGGAAAAAAGGTACCAAAGGGAGGGGATAGTTAAAGAGATCCCTTTTATGTAGCAATTATGTAACAGGGTTATAAAAACCCAGCATTTTTCAACACAAATGAACCAATTTTCGATTATATTGTGAACTACTATTTCGGTTGATTTCGACTTCGGCTGCTTTTTCAAAATTCATTGATTAGAA